GTGGGGGGAAAGGGGAGATTGGAGGGGTTCGCGGCCATTCGCGTCTCCTAGCTGGCGAGCGGGGTCTATGGCCGTGCGGGGGGACACAGGCGGGTCTTTCCATGGGGTGCGACGAGAGTCTGAGGCTCAGCTGCCTCGGGTCTGGTGCAGCCCTTTCGCATCTCGACCATGACGAGCGCATTCGCGCGCGACGTCCCGTCAGCGACATCCTCCATCGCCTTTTCTGCTCCGCTGTTGCGCCAGGCGGCGGCGGCAAGGGTGCAGGGGTTTCCTCTCATCGACAACTGTCGTCTATGCTTCAGTTGTCCGCGCTTCGACATCTCGTCTCTGCGTCCTGCGTCAGCAAGTGGCCACCGCCGTCTGCGCTGAGCCCTTGTCGAACAGTTGCGCCATCGTGTGTGCTTTGCCGTCGTCGAAGAACTGCGCCTCGTCGAAGAACTGTGACCCGTCAAAGAGTTGCGCCATCGTGTGCATTGTGCCCTCTTCTAAGTAAAGTGCTGTTCTGCCTGCCCACGTGTCGGGCGTCAGGCATGTTTGCCGACCCATGGGAGCGGCCGCGTCACGCCACCTGTTTCAAGTTGCGGGGACGGAGGGAAAAAATGTGTGGGGGACATTGGGCCACATGGTTTCTGTGTCCCCTTCTGATTCCCGCTCGTTCTTTCCTCGCGAGCGGCCCCATGATTCTTGCTTGCCATCATCATCATCATCATCACCTCCATCATCACCATCATTGTCGCCACCATCATCATCGTCATCATCATCATCATCATCATCATTATCATCATCACCATCATTGTCATCGTGATCATCATCATCTTCATCAACATTATCATCATCATCAACAACATCATCATTAACATCATCAACGTCATCAACATCGTCATCATCATCAACATTATCATCAACATCATCATCAATATCATCAACGTCATCAACAACATCATCATCATCATCGACATCGTCGCCGTCATCAAAATCACCACCATCGTCATCTTCGTTGTCATCGTCATCATCAACATCGTCGTCATCGTCGTCATCATCGTCATCATCATCATCGTCATCATCACCATCATCATCATCACCAACATCATCATCAACATCACCATCGTCATCAACATCGTCATCATCATCAGCAACATCGTCGTCCAGATCAACGTCACCACCGTAATCGTCACCATCATCGTGATCATCACCGTCGTCACCATTATCATCATGTCGTGCCACGTGTCCGAAGTGGCTGGGACGGCGGGAACGGATGACGTAGACATCGGGGCACACGGCTTCCGTGTCCCGTTCTGCTTGTCTCTCATTCGTTCCACGCGACCGCCTGCACGATTCTTGTTTGGCTTGGCATTGAAGAAAAAGGGTCGTTGATCACAAGCTGAACATTGCAAACCACTCCCGCGCGGCCGAGGCAAACACGAAATCGCCTATTCCCAACAGAACACGAAACCCCTTCGAAACACTTCCCTCGCACGTTTGCAGTTCTCATCAGAGAGATTAGAGGTTGGTTATCACAAAGGAGACGCGTTGGACTGCAAATCCACGACTGTTGGTTCGAATCCATCGTGGGGCCAACTGCGCCAGCATGGACGGACAGTAGTCACGGCGGTGGTGGTGAGCGACAAGCGGGTGCTGCATGGGCTGTGTGCGACCGCTGTTGGTATTAAGCGTCGCGCGGTGGCCACGGTGGGAAGGATGTCCGCCGTCCACGTGGCGTGCAGTGAGAGGTATGGTATTCATAAACAGGAGGGGGTCGTCGTTCCGTGTTCGTGTTCTCGCCACAACACTTAAGCCTCCCTCCCCGAAGAGACTATGGCGTCAATCCCGGGAGAGTTGTTGTCGTCTCCATCCAGCACACACAACGTGCACATGATCCACCATAGAGGCCATCATGGATGTTGAGCGCTCACTCCTGGCGCTGGTTGTGAGGGATGCGATATCGCATTCAGTACGACAAATGCTAGGACTGTGCGCGTAACATTCGCGGGCTCCAGAACGAAGAATGCACACGTTGCGTGCGCGCGATGGAGAACGCCTGCACCGCTCGCTGCAATGACGATGGAGTTTCTTCGGCGTGAGCGCCGCATGTTTCGTGACGACAACCTCGACACGAAAACATGGCCTCGTTCAATAACGAACAACCCGGCCGTCTCCGGGAAACGTCTTAGTCATCGGGGCAAGGTGGGTCGCCATTGTCACTGCAAGCGCGAAACCAACATCAGCCAAACAAAGAACGGCGCGTGGCGTATGGTTGCCTGGCGAGATGGGAAGTTCGGATCCCGACGAACTACAGCAATCATGCGCAGTGCTCTCGCGGAAGCGGCAATTTGTTGTCGTCGCACGGCCGCAGGGAGAGCACGCGCAGGTAGGAAAATAGCGCATGATTGCTGTAGTTCGTCGGGATCCGAAGTTCCCATTTCGGCAGCCTTTCACACGCGACTCCACGTTTTTTGTTTGGCGGTTGTTGGTTTCGTGTTCGCAGTTACAATGCCATCCCGGGTTGGCCTGATGACTACGTTTTGCGGGACATAGTTTCCAGCTTTCAGGCGTGGGGTCGATAGTTCATAATGCCATGCCAGTTGTCAGCGTCCTAGCTGTGGAACCTGCCATTGCCCGACTGAGAACTCGCCTTGTCTGCGGTACTAATTGGGGGTCCACCAGCCGTGGTCATTTTTTTTTTTGTGCTTGCAGTCATTGTCATCAAGAATGACAACATTTGTGACTGGATCGTCGCAAGTGCTCGCTTTGTCAATGAGGAGAATCGGTGTCCATGGGGGTCTATTGGGGGCCGCGCTGCGCCAATTTCTGACATGGTGCATCTGCGACGACCATTTCTGTTGTGCGTGCTCTGTTGGAACAAACCCTTGTGAGCAGCAGCAGGGCCTCCCTGACCATGCGACCAAGCCTAGCGTTCCTTCTGTGCAATTCCACAACGGTCATCCAAATATCCGTCGTCCCCCGCGCAAACCGGTTCCTAGCCAGTCCAGCAAGCGCCAAGTTCGGATCCCGGCGGACTTTGAGGTCCCGCGTAAATATAACCGCCCTTTTCGACGGCCACGACTGTCGAGTGTGTTCTGATTATCAGAGGCCTCCGGGCACGCAAAAGTGCTCGCATGAGGCCTGGAGCTTCAAGTGTGAGTTGATTGCGCGAGGACTGTGGGTGCGAAAAACTGCTCACCTTCTGAGATGCCCTTTGAGGGGTTTGTGGGGGTTGCCGATGGTGATAGCGGTCGTGTCCCTTGTCGGTGTGCCATCGATCTTTGTTGCCCTCAGAGGGTTTTGACCGTCCCGGTGTGCGGATTCTTGTCGCAGACATGCTCGTGTTTCTGCGTGGTTTCCGGTTCGCGCTTTCACACGTCGACGTTACCGGCGCGCGAATCGGGGGTTGCCTTGTTTGGAAGGGTTCGACTGGCCGAATCGGGGTTTGGAAGGGTTGAAGGGGGTCTTTCATCAATTTCTACATTTTTCTTGTCTGCGCAGTAGAGATGTCCGAGCTCGATGAACTCTTGCACTAGGGGTCAGGTTGGGGTCGTGCTGCGCCCAATTTTGTGGTGGTGCATCCACCGCTGCCCTTTGCTCTGCTCGTGCTATCGTACAACGACAACTTCGGAGCAGCAGAGCTTTCCTTCTCTGCGGCCAAGCATAGCATTGCTTGTATGCACCCGCTAGCGCTCCGTTCCACTGACACCGGCCGTGCAAAAACAGGTTCCTTGGTACTCCAGCACCGGCCAAATTCGGATCCCGGTGGACTTCGAGGCTCCGCGTGAATCTGACCGTTGTTTTCAACGGCTTGGACTTTTCCGTCCGTCTTCAATGCCGGCGGCCTGGTAGTGCGCAAAATTGCTTACCTTGTGAGTTGCCCTGAAAGGGGTTTATTGGGGTTGACGACGGTGTCGCTGGTCGGGTTCATTTCCGGTGTGCCGTGGATCTTTGTTCATCGGCGCCCCAAAATGCGGTGCGCCCGAGCATCACCTGCTTCTGTGCAAACGCCATCCACCCGTTCCAAATGCAGGCGAATCCACCAAGTTCGGATCCTGGCGGACTTTGAGGATCGACGCGAATCTATCTGTCCGTTGCGTGGCGCCTGGAGCTTCGAGTGTGAGTTGATTGCGAGAGGACTGTGGATGCGAGAAATTGCTCGCCCTCAGAAATGCACTTCAAGGGGTTCATGGGGGTTGCCAAAAATAAGGGACACGGCCGTTGTCACCGTCGGCAACCCCCATTCACCCCTTCGAGGGCATTTATGAAGGCAACCAATTTTTTGCGCCCACGATCTTTGTTTCCCCCCAAGGTTTTTGGTCGTCGCGGTGTGCGGAGTCTTGTCGCAGAATCGGGGGTCGCCTTCTCGACTAGCCGAATCAATGTTTGGAAGGGTTGAAGGAGGGGATCTTTCATCCTTTTTTACATTTTTCTTGTCTGCGCAGTGGGGATGTCCAAGTTCGATAAGCTCTTGCGCTAGTACCTGTGAATGGAAAATTGCACGGGCTCGCTTAGACGATGGTGAGAATCGGTGTTTATAGGGGTCAGTTTGTGGTCGCGCTGCGCCGAATTGTGTGGTGGTGCATCCACCACTACCCTTCGTTCTGCGCGTGCTATCGTTCACCGACAACAGAGCCTTCCTTCTGTTCGCCCTAACATAGCGTTCCTTGTGTGCACCCACTAGCGCTACCCTCCACTGTCACAGGCCGCGCGAAAACAGGTTCCTTGCTACTCCAGCACCCGCCGAATTCGGATCCGGGCGAACTTAAAGGCTCCCCGTTAAATCTGACCGTTATTTTCAACAGCTTGGACTTCCCAGTCCGTCTTCAATGCCGGCGGCCTGGTAGTGCGGGAAATTGCTCGCCTTGTGAGTTGCCCTGAAAGGGGTTTATTGGGGTTGACGACGGTGTCGCTGGCCGGGTCCATTTCCGGTGCGCCGTGGACCTTCATTCATCGCCGCCCCGAAATGCGGTGCGCCCGAGCATCGCCTGCTTCTGTTTAAACGTCATCCACCCGTTCCAAATGCAAGCGAATCCACCAAGTTCGGATCCTGGCGGACTTTGAGGATCGACGGGAATCTATCCGTCCTTTGTGTGGCGCCTGGAGCTTCGACTGTGAGTTGATTGCGAGAGGAGTGTGGGTGCGAGAAATTGCTCGCCCTCTGAAATGCCCTTCAAGGGGTTCATCGGAGTTGCCGAAAATGAGGGACACGGCCGTTGTCACCGTCGGCAACCCCCATTGACCCCTTCAAGGGCATTTATGAAGGCGAGTAATTTTTCGCACACACGATCTTTGTTGCCCCCCAAGGTTATTGACCGTCTCGTTGCGCGGAGTCTTGTCGCAGACATGCTTCTGTTCCTGCGTGTTGTCCGGTTCGCGCTGTCGCACGTCAATGTTCCAGGCGCGCGAATCGGGGGTCGCCTTCTCGACTGGGCGAGTCAATGTTTGGAAGGGTTGAAGGGGGGATCCTTCATCCTTTTCTATATTTTTTTTGTCTGCGCAGTGGAGATGTTCGAGTTCGATAAGCTCTTGCACTAGTACCTGTGAATGGGACACTGCACGAGCTCGCTTAGACGATGGTGAGAATTGGCGTTTATAGGGGTCAATTTGGGGTCGCGATGCGCCGAATTGTGTGGTAGTGCATCCACCACTACCCTTTGTTCTGCACGTGCTATCGTTCACCGACAACAGAGCCTTCCTTCTGTTCGCCCTAACATAGCGTTCCTTGTGTGCACCCACTGGCGCTACCTTCCACTGTCACGGGCCGCGCGAAAACAGGTTCCTTGCTACTCCAGCACCCGCCAAATTCGGATCCCGGCGAACTTTGAGGCTCCCCATAAATCTGACCGTTATTTTCAACAGCTTGGACTTCCCAGTCAGTCTTCAATGTCGGCGGCCTGGTAGTGCGGAAAAGTGCTCGCCTTGTGAGTTGCCCTGAAAGGGGTTTATTGGGGTTGACGACGGTGTCACTGGCCGGGTCCATTTCCGGTGTGTCGTGGATCTTCGTTCATCGCCGCCCCGAAATGCGGTGCGGCCGAGCAACGCCTGCTTCTGTGCAAACGCCATCCACCCATTCCAATACCTGCAGCCGAAAACCTGTTACTCGCTGCAGGCAAATCCGCCAAGTTCGGATCCTGGCGGACTTTGAGGATCGGCGCAAATCTATCCGTCCTTCGCATGGCGCCTGGAGCTTCGAGTGTGAGTTGATTGCGAGAGGACTGCGGGTGCGAGAAATTGCCCGCCCTCTGAAATGCCCTTGAAGGGGTTCATGGGGGTTGCCGAAAATAAGGGACACAACCGTTGTCACCGTCGGCAACCCCCATAAACCCCTTCAAGGGCATTTCAGAAGGCGAGCAATTTTTCGCACCCACGATCTTTTTTGCCCCCCAAGGGTTTTGACCGTCGCGGTGTGCGGAGTCTTGACGCAGACATGCTTGTGTTTCTGCGTGCTCTCCGGTTCGCGCTGTCGCACGTCGACGTTCCTGGCGCGTGAATCGGGGGTCGCCTTCTAGACTGCCCGGATCAATGTTTGGAAGGGTTGAAGGGGGGATTTTTCATCCTTTTCTATATTTTTCTTGTCTGCGCAGTGGAGATGTCCGTGTTCGATAGCTATTGTACTAGTGCCGGCGAATTGAACACGACACGACCTCGCTTAGACGATGGTGATAATCGGTGTTTATAGGGGTCAGTTTTGGGTCGCGCTGCGCCGAATTGTGTGGTGGTGCATCCACTACAACCCTTTGTTCTGCGCGTGCTATCGTTCACCGACAACAGAGAATTCCTTCTGTTCGCCCAAACATAGCGTTCCTTGTGTGCACTTACTGGCGCTACCTTCCACTGACACAAGCCGCGTGAAAACAGGTTCCTTGCTACTCCTGCACCCACCAAATTTGGATCCCGACGAACTTTGTGCCCTCAACGTGTAAATTTGAGCGTGCTTACAGTTTGCTCCGGGCACGCTATGGAAACTGCACAAGAGAGAATAATCCATTGCGCTGACGGGAATCGCATGCGCTGCACCGACGGTTGCATAATGGCGCCAAAGAAGGCTCGGCGAACGGCCGCATGAACCGGGCTATGGAAACTGAACAAGACGTTGACTTGCATTGCCAGCTACAAAACCTGGAGTTGGCCCCGACGACCTCTTCGGACAGTTCGCCGTTCCAACAGTCAGCTGCGGATTTCCCCAGCAAATGGAATCTCGCTTTTCGTGAGAGCTTTGGAGGTTGCATCCAACTGCCTACAGAATTGGCAACAACGTCCGCGAGCGAAGAACCGCTTACGTCCCGGATAGAGTTCCACATTCCTGGCGAGGTGCACCCCACAGCTTCAGCGCATAGCAGTTGCGTGCCAATGGGTGTTTCTTACGCATCATCTGATGACGAGAGTGAGCGGTTGGTGGCCACTGATTACTCGTCTGGACAACAGTCCTATTCCAGTGGACCTTTGCTTCGCGCTATCTCCAGTACTACGAAGTTGGTTGCCACCGACTATTCTTCGGAGGAGCTTTCCACAGCACGGGCGAGTCCAACGATGCGATTCCAAGTCAGAGCCAGTCTGGGTCAGAATCGTTTGGCAGGGGTGTTGCAGAGAGAAGGGCGATACTGGAGATTTTGCCCGCACCTCTGCCAGGCGAAAGACGAAGGTATAGCATGGCAAATAGAAACGCTAGGAGGAAAGAATAGTATAAAAGAGCGAGAAACATGTTGTCCGAAAAAAGACTGCTCATGGTGCGCGGCATGGCATGTTGCAAGGCTCGATGTTGTTACGATGTGTCGCCTGAGGAAGTGCGAAAGGTAAGACAAGGACTGTACGGTAAGAGTCCGGGAGAGCGAGCTGAGTGGTGGATGAAAAGTATTAAGGATTTCATAGTAAATGAGGGTGCACAGAAACGTGTCCGCCCTGTGGAGTTGGAACGTTCAATGTGCGTCAGGGCGTACTACAATGTACTCGGTGTCTCGCGTAATACATTTTACAGCTACAAAAAGCGTTTCGACAATGGCTACGTGCATTCCGAGCATGGCCTGACGGGAAAATATAGGCCAACCAATAAAACGGTCGCCATGCTTGCCAGCATGAGAACGTTCATCGAGTGTCATGCGGATAGCATACCGAATGAGGTGGCTAACCAAGGTGGGGTTTCCAGACCGAACCTTCGACTCCCGGCTGCTTTCACGAAGAGATCAATTTATGAGTCCATCAAATCCGATTTTCTGGCCGTTGGCCTCGATGTCGTGTCTGAGTCCAACTTTTATAACTTATGGCGGAAACACTTTTTCCACGTTTCCCTCGCGCAATCTAACACGTTCACGAAGTGCGCCGTCTGTCATGAACTGAAGGAACGTATACAATATGCTGCTCTTCCTCGAGATCGAGAATGTGTTTGAGACGATATGAAAGCACACCAAAGGAGGCAAGTTGAACACACATTGGACTATAGTCGAGCGAAAACTGATTCCATGGTTCGTCCGAACGAGCGTTTGTGTCTCATCATTGACGGCATGGATCAGAAGAAAACAACTATCCCCTATATTGGTCAAGCGAACTACTCGAAAGCACTTAAGCATGAGATGATGATGAAGACTAATCTGACAGGCGTCATTGCACACGGCAGAGACCCTAGTATATATGTGTACACGTGGTTTTCGTATTTCAAACACGATTTCAACACGGTTGCTACTTGCGTTATGAGAACCCTTGTCGAAATTCAAGGGAGCGGGACGCCACTACCACGGTTTT